AAATTAATAAACATATTAAAAATATATAAAATATTTAAAAATTTTTAATGTTTATTTATTTTTGAGAGAGAGAGACAGACAGAATGCAAGTGGGGAGGGACAGAGAGAGAGGGAGACACAGAATCCAAAGCAGGCTCCAGGCTCTGAGCGTAGAGGCCGATGCAGGGCTCGAAGTCATGAAACCACAAAATCATGACCTGAGCCAAAGTCAGACACTTAACTGAGCTACCCAGGTGCCCCAATCACTGCATTTTTTTAAGTTTATTTATTTATTTATTTATGTTTGAGAGAGAGAGGGAAGGAGGGAGGGGCAGAGAGAGAGGGAGACAGAGAATTCCGAGCAGGCTCTGCACTGTCAGCATAGAGCTCAATGTAGGGCTCAAACTCAGGAACTGTGAGATCATGCTCTGAACCAAAATAAAAAAGTGGGACACTTAACTGACTGAGCCACCCACATGCCCCCATCACTGCATTTTAAACTCCATGTAGATAAACGGTTAGATTCATGGTTTTCATTTTATTCTTGATTTTTAGGAATTGCTTTCATTTTTATTTTGGTTCATATTGATTTATTTATTTTCCTAAGCATGTAAAGCATTTACATGAGTTCTAAATTTAAACCAATGAAATAAGGTACATTCGGAGAAAATAATCCAGCTTCTAGTCTTAGTCTTGCCCACATCACCCTCTTCCCTACCTCCCCTTTTGGGAAACTATTTCTATTAGTTTTTGATTTAGTGTTCCATTTTACTTATTACTATTAATTTTTATTTTGAAGCTTTTATTGGTATAATAGCGTACCATTATAAGTAAGTTGTTTTATTATATAGTTACATTATGGAATACCTAGTTATATAATGAAGTATCATATAGCTATAACATTACATATTACGATGCATATTGCACATCACAGATAACACAGGTTACGTATAATATAGTATTATAATCATATATTATTTCTTTATGATGGTGTAATAACACATAATGTTGTTAAGGTTATTTTATCCTTTCTTTGTTGTTTACTGTAAGGACACATATTAATGTCTCCCCTTTCTTAGATAAAATGTAAACTACCTGCCCTCTTCTGCACTTTTCTTTAATGTTTATTTTTGAGAGAGAGAGAGACAGTGCAAGTGGGGAAGAACAGAGAGAGGGAGACACAGAATCCGAAGCAGGCTTCAGGCTCTGAGCTGTCAGCACAGAACCCGACATGGGGGTCGAACCCATGAACTGCGAGATCATGACCTGAGCCCAAGTCGGCCGCTTAACTGACTGAGCCACCCAAGCACCCCTGCACCTTTTTTTTTTTCAAGAGAGAGAGAGAGCACAAGCACACACAAACAAGCAAGGGAGGGGCAGAAAGAGAGAGGAAGAGAGAGAATCCCAAGGAGGCTCTGCACTGTCAGTGCAGAGCCCTATGTGGGGCTCAATCTCATGAACCGTGAGATGTTGACCTGAGCCAAAATCAAGAATCCAATGCTTGACTGACTGAGCCACCCAGGCATCCCTCTTCTGTACTTTTAGAAGCTCTGCACATGGTGGGGTATCAGCCTTTTCTGTGATCCAGGTTGTAAGAATTTTTCCTGGTGGGTCCTGGACTCTGGCCCCTGGTTCCCTAAATGATAGCCAGGCTCTCAGTTGTCCTCTCACCCTCAATGAAACTTTCTTCCTCTCTTGACTTCTCAGTTTGGGAGTGTCTATCAGGCGGGCACCTGCCACTCCATGCACAGGAGATGAAGATGGCCTCCAAGCGCATCACCCAGGAGACCTTCGATGCAGCCGTTCGTGAAAACATTGAAGAGTTCGACATGGGACCAGAGGAGGCAGTAAAAGAAGCTGTGGAACAATTTGAATCGCAAGGTAGGGCAGCATGGCTCTGTCCCAGCGCTAGTCTGGCTCTTTGCCCGATAGTCACCTCCAGTCCACAGCTCTTAACATACAGGAGTGATGTCCTACCGTGGCTCTGTCTTGCCTGTGTGGCAGCCCTGGACCTGTCCCTTCTCTGCACTCTGCCCCGGATAGGCTGGCGGTCTTCTCCCACTTGACTCTCGCCCTCCCTCTACTTGCCTTGACCCCACCCAGACATCTACAGGGCTGAATCCTTCAAAGTGGGTTTCATTTTAATTGAAATCGAACCCATCGATTTCAGGCTTCTCGTGACCACCTCTCAGGAAACAGGGCCACCTGCCTCCCTGCCCACCTGCATTCTGGCTTGAGTTCATGGGGACAGAAAGGGGTATTGTCATACCTGTTGTCACACAGGGGACCTGTTGTCCCCTGGCCACAGCAGGGACCTCCCCTGCCCCACAGCGGTCCATGGCTGGGGATGGAGAGTCATCTGATAGTGGCAGAGGCAGGGAGCTGGGAATGAGTACCCCACCGTACCGCTCCTGATCTCCAGTCCTGGTCCCTGTTGGCCAAGCCCAGTCAGATACCAGAGGGCAAGGGAACCCAGGGTCCAACGTCTGTGTCCTGGGCACAGAGTGGGGTATAGACACTGGACAGCGACTAGAGGAGTACCCAGAAGTGTTCTGTGCAATGGGGCCTTCCTTGGTGGTGCCAGGGTGGGTGAGGACACAATGGGAGGATGCAGGGTAAGGAGCAATGGGAGCCCCAAGGGATAAGTCTGTGAGGTCTTCTCCCATCTCCATTCACCAGGTAGAATGTGTCCCTCACTGCAGTGTGGCCTGCAGCCTCACTACTGCTCTGCTCCCATTGGTTGGAGAGGGTCAAAGGGCAAAGACCACCCCCTTGCCACATCGTTATACCCCTGTATGGATGTGGCTACTGGGTCCTGGTGCAGAGGGTTTGGGGTGGGGAGCTGGGTAGACCCCCAAAGGTCTTCAGAGTGGGGTGGTCCCTGAAGAAGAGACATGAGGTATGTTCCAGCAGGCCTATCGGGATGATGGCTGTCACTTGTTTCCTGATTCCCCCACCCCCCACAGGGGTGGATCTGAGCAACATTGTAAAGCTGGCACCCAAAGTCTCTGCAGATGGACCCCAGGAGCCTACACATGACATCCTCCAGGTAGGAAGGGGTGGCCCATGTGGACAAGGCTGGCCTTACACATGTGGTTCCACCTTTTAACGGTCTGTTAGGGATACCTTTTCATTGGTTACCAGACGGCAGATGCAGGCTCTGAAGGGCAGGCACCCAGCATGTACACGCAAGCCTGAGCTGTAGCCAGGGCTCCTGAGTTAACATTTGAGGGCCTTTTGGGGCTGGACGGTGTTCATGGTAGTCCCTGGTGTTGGGAGCTTTGGGGGATAAGGAGCCATGGAGGAGTCTCTTGGGAGGAGCCTCCCAACCACTGAGTTTGCTCAGAGACGGACAGGAATTGCAGGAAGAGAATGGGACCCTAGTAAGACTGTCACCTATTAAGCACTGACTGTTCACCAGCACATTACAGCCTGCCCTCTTAGCACTAAAACTGGCCTGCGAGGTAGGTGGTCCCTGACTTACTGATGGGGAAACAGAGACCCAGAGCCTGTCCTCACTCTCCAGCACCCAAGCAAGGAAGGTAAAGTTCACAGAAGTTAAATGCTTTCCTTAAGATCATCCATCAAACACTGATAAAACAGCTCTTGATAAAACAGCAAAAGGCTCTGGTGTTTATTGAAAACTGACTATGGAATCAGTTCTGTGCAAGGTGCTTTCTTTGTGCTATATCAAGTTATTTTCCCAAAGACCCAAGGTTGAGATTATTATCCTTATTTATACCCACAGATGGGTACTGCAAAGAGGAAAAAAATGATTTACCTGACAACAAGAGAGTGTAGTGATAAAAGAGGAAGTTAGAAGACACAGCCCTGGGTGTGAACCCAGCTCTGCCCAAGGCAAGGTATTTACTTCTCCCTGCCCCAGCTTCCTCACCATCTCCTGCCTCACAGAGGTTTTGAGAAAATTCTCATTGTTGTTTTGACTTATTTGCTAGTAAGGATGAATATATTTTAAAATAAGCTTGCTGTCTTGGCCATTTTTTTATTGGGCTGTTCATCGTGTTCTTATTGATTTGTAGATGCCCTTTACATATGAACCATCTTAGTCACAATAGTCTTTAGTAATCACTGAGTATTTCTTAAGTGCTCAGCATTGTGCTAAATTCTTTTTTTTTTTAATTTTTTTTTTAATCTTTATTTATTTTGAGAGAGAGACTGAGTGTGAGCAGGGGAGGAGCTGAGGGGAGGGAGACACAGAATCAGAAGCAGGCTCCAGGCCCTGAGCTGTTAGCACAGAGCCCAACGCAGGGCTCGAACTCACGAACCCTGAGATCATGACCTGAGCCAAAGTCGGACGCTTAAACAACTGAGTCACCCAGATGCCCCTGTGGTAAAGTCTTAAAACATATTATTTCAATCTGTTGTTAGTCCATTTTGCTGATCAGGAATCTGAGGCTTCCCAAAGATAACTGACTCAACTGTGATCATAGCCAGTGAGGGACAGAGCTGGGACTCAGACCCAGGTCCCTCTTCCAGTCAAGCTGGGAACAGCTCTGATGTTTTTACCAGCAGTATAGGAAACTCCATTTATTTACAACCTTTGCTCTTTTACTCCTCTTAATTTGACTTTAAAATTTTTATTTTTCATTATTGAAGAAGAATGTGAACGTATCTGGCATAAAAGATTTAAGTAGTAGTCAAGCATTTATAGCAAAATCTGAAAGTCCCTGTCATATCTCTCCCATCAACCCCTTCTCTCCCTTTCCATGTGGGAGGCACCACACACATTGGGTTTCATATCCTCCCAGCCTTATTCTCACCTTGAAGTTGAACGACCCCCTTCTCATGCCACAGCACCGTTGACCTCAGTTGTTGTGGCTCCCATGTGTGAAAAAGGCTTATCTGTAGAAGGAGAAAAATTCAACTCCGTGATGCCTTTTGAAAGGAATCTACCAGAGTCATGAAACTTGTTGCCCACAGACTTGTAGAAACAAAACCAAGAAGTCCTGGAACTCTCTGAGTACAAATGAGCCAGACCGGTTTGATTTTATTATTTTACTATTTTTTTAATTAAAAAAAAAATTTTTTTTTATGTTTATTTATTTTTGAGGTGGGGGGAGGGGCAGAGAGAGAGAGGGAGACACAGAATCCAAAGCAGACTCCAGGCTCTGAGCTGTCAGCACAGAGCCCGATGCAGAGCTCGAACTCACCAACCATGAGATCATGACCTTAGCTGAAGTCGGATGCTTAACTAACAATGCCACCCAGGCACCCTGGACTGGTTTTATATGTGAGGAGTTTCAGAATAAAGGCCATCAGTCATAGAGAGAAGGACCCCAGGGTGGAGGACAAAACCCCTATCACAATGCCGAGTTGTCACAGGTGGAGCACAGTTGGCTCTGCCACCTTCACGTTAGCCACTGTCCTTTCCTCAGCCATCAGCAGGGTCACAGCACCTAGGGACCGTGAAGACCACCAGCCAGCTCAGAGACTCGCCTTCCTGATGTGACCCAGGACAGGAAGAGATTCCCCATAAATTGAATGGTTACTAGGATGCCAATTTTGGTCATTTTCTTTTTCTGTCTTACCTTACTAAACCCAGAGTATGAGAACTCCAGCACTATGCATCCTCAATGGCACTTGTGGCCCAGCTTTTCAAGTTTCTTGCAGGGTTCCTGCTAAAATGCTACATTCCCTGTCTTGGGTTTATGGTAAAATATATATAACACAAATTCACCATCTTAGCCATTTCTAAGCATATGGTTCAGCAACATTAAGTATAGTCACATTGATGTGCAGCCATCCCCACCATCCATTTCCAGGACTTTCTTGGATTCTCAGACTGAAACTGTCCCCACTAAACACGAACTCCCCACTCTCTCCTTCAGCCCCTGGCCATTCTACTTTCTGTCTCTATGACTGTGACTCCTCTAGGGACCTTCTGTAAGTAGAGTCACACAGTATTTATCCTTTTGGGTCCTGCTCATTTTCCTGAGCACAAGGTCCTCAGGGTTCATCCATGTTGTCACCTGGGTCAGAATTTTGTTCCTTTTTATGGCTAATAATATCCCATTGTGTGACTGGACTACCTTCTGTTTATCCATTCATCCATGGATGGAAATTTGGGTTGTGTCCACCTTTTGTCTACTGTAAGTAATGCTGCTGTAAACGTGGATATACAAATATCTCTTCAAGACTGCTTTCAGTCCTTGTGAGTATGTACTTGGAACTGGGATTGCTGGATCATATGGTAATTCTCTATTTAATTTTTTGAGGAACTTCTAGGCCATTTTCCACAATGGGTGCAGCAATTCACATTCCCACCAGCAACACACAAGGGCTCCATTCCTCCACATCCTCACTAGCGCTTGTTATTTTCTGGCTCTGTGTGTGTGTGTATGTGTGTGTGTGTGTGTTTATTGTAGCCATCTTGTAATGGATATGAGGGTATCTCATTGTGTCTTTGATTTGCATTTCCCTATTGACTGGTTATGTGGAACATCTTTTCACATGGCGATTGGCCACCAGCGTATCCTCTTTGGTAAATGTCTATTCAAGTCACATTCTCTGCTTCTAGTCCATTAATATTCCATGTCATTGAAACATATGCTCAGGTAACTCTACAAATCTAGCTCAGTGAGGGTTGTCCATTGGGCATCCTAGCCTTTCAGGGCAGTTGTGGCTAAATCAAAGCCCTTTGGGTTGGGTTGATGGTTATCTGTAGAACTGCCTTCCCTGGGGCCAGGGGCCAGTGATTTCCTGAGCTCCAGGAGGCTTGGGCTCATCTTAGACTCATTGCTGAGACAGGTGTGGAGGTGATGGAGTTAAATGGTGGCTAGACTTGTATGCTCTTTTTTGTTTAGTTTATATGTGAGAGAGAGAGAGAGACGGAGTGCAAGTGGGGGAGGGGCAGAGAGAGAGGGAGACACAGAATCTGAAGCAGGTTCCAGACTTGGAGCTGTCAGCACAGAGCCCAATAGAGGGCTCGAACTCACAAATCATGAGATCATGACCTCAGCCAAAGTCAGACGCTTAACTGACTGAGCCACCCAGGTGCCCCTGTATACTCTTTTCAAATTGTTTTCTCTTGTTATTACTTTTTCCCCCAAGGGCTTTGTGTTGAATTGGGGTAAATCAACAGTATGTCTGGTGTGGTTTCATTTGGCAGATATATATCTGTGGAGTGAATGGGAGAGACAAACAGGAGACATCTGGTATCGGCAGGTCTGGCAAAGGTAGCTTTCACCTTCCTTGGAGAGCTGGCCACTGGAGGGTGCGTTAGTTACAGTTGCATGATAGGCAGCCCCAAACAGCAGCCGTTTTATGTTCCTTATGATTCAGCTGGGTTGACTGAGCTCAGCCAGATGGTTCTTCTGCCGGTCTCTCTTGGACCCTCTTGCAATGGCAGCTGGGGCTAGAATGTTTAATTTGTCAGCATTCATGTGTGTGGCTCCTTGGAGGGACGCTGAGATAGCTGGGTCTGTCCTTCTCTATGTGGCCTCTAACACTGAAAGCTCCTAAAAGCACAAGGTGGAAGCTGCCACAGCTGGACTGAATTTCCACCACAGCCCTAGATCCCAGAAGAGGGAAGCGCGCGGGGGTGCGACACTCACCGTGGAACCTCTTCGGGCTGAGCTGACACTGAGGCTTCTCCCGTGTCCTCTAGGCCCTGGATGATCTACAGGAGTCCGTGGCCCACTCTCGCCCCCAGGAAGTGTCAGCGCATCTTGCCCGCTTTTTTGAGCAGTGCAAGCAGCACAAACCTTGCCGCTTCCTGGCAGCCCAGAAAGGGGCCTACCCCATCCTTCTCGCTGCCTGGAAGCTTGCTGTAGTGAGTGACCAGGGCCTCCTGCTCCAGGCCCTCAATGCCGTGTCGGTCCTGACCGAAGGCCAGCCCGATCTCCTAGACACCCAGGGCTTGCAGTTGCTGGTGACCACACTGGCCCAGAATGCCGATGCAGCCGATCTGACCTGTTCTGGGATCCGCTGTGTGTGCCATGCCTGCCTGAAGCACGAGCAGAATCGGCAGAGCCTGGTGAAGGCCGGTGTGCTGCCCCTGCTGACCGGTGCCATCACCCGGCATGGTCACTGCGCCGATGTGGTCAAGGAGGCCTGCTGGGCCCTCCGAGTCATGACCTTCGATGATGACATCCGTGTGCCCTTTGGCCGTGCCCACGACCATGCCAAGATGATTGTGCAGGAGAATGGAGGCTTGAAGGTGCTCATTGAGGCCGCCAAAGGTAAGAGCAGGTGTGAAAGAGAGAGTTGGGTTTTAAGATTACTTCAGGCTGGCCCCAGAAGATTACTTCTGCTTACCTCTTTTGGCTTACCCTCACCCACACGGCAGCCTTAGTGGAACAGTGTACCTACTCTTGGTTGCTGCTCTTGGGGAGTTCCAGACCAGTGCTCGTTGGCCAGGACCAAATTTTGTGCCCATTTCTGGAGCCATTTGGGAAGGGGTTTGGCTCTGTCCACTCACACAGAGTGGAGAAGGGAGGGCTTCCCAAGGGGACAAATGAGGGTGTTTCCCAAAGATGGTCCCCAGCAGAGGTTTACACTTTGGTTCATACTTAGCCACAAATTCTTAGGCATGTACATGTTCTTGACTAGGGTGATTGTGGCGAGCCAGCCACAGGAGGTCACAGTGCTAATGTTCAGACCCTAAATTCCCTGCCTCTTTCCACTGTACCCACCAGAAAAGGCCTGACTGGTTTGATGCATAGAAGATGCTAGAAGAATGAATTCTTCCCAGCCTGCCTGTGGCTCTGGCTCTATGGCTAGGCTTGTGTGTTTGACTCTGGCCCTGTCTTCTGGAGAGACAGGCTTGCCTCAGTTTCTTCTCCACACCTCCGGAGAGGGTGAAAACAGGTTCTGACTATCTGCAAAGTCCGGCTGCTTTTCTGAGGGGTAGTTTACATCTTTCTTGTTTATCAACAGGAATTCATACCAGTCAGGGTTCTACCAGAGAAGCAGAACTAGTGGGATATGTTTGTGTATGTATATGTATATTTATTTCAAGGAATTGGCCCATGTGGCTGTGGGGCTGCTGAGTCTGAAATCCATGGAGCAGGCTTGAGAGGAGCCAACACCACAGTCCTCCAACGAGTTTCTTCCTCTTCAGGAATACCTTAGTTTCCCTCTAAGGCCTTCGGCTGACTGGACAAGGCCCACCCAGACCATCAGGGGTCATCTTGAAGTCGGCCGTTCATAGATGTCACCACATCTAGAGATACCTCTACTCAGATTAGTGTTCATGCCATTGCTGGGTGCTGCACCCTATCCCGGGGTGGGGGTGGGGGGCATACCAACTGACTGTCACAGAGCTCTGTATAAATTATGGCTATCCGCCACCCCCCCATGTGGGCCTCAGTGCAGGCAGGCGTCTCCTCCCTCGTGCCTCTGAACTTAGTCTTCGGCATCTGTGTTCAATTTTGCCTGGGTCAACTCTATCCATATGTCCCTCTACAGTTTCTGGGTTTCCCGTTGCACTTAGAAAGGTCATTCCCACCCCAAGAACATAAAAATAGCCTTGGATGTTTTATTATAGCACTATTATGGTTTTCTTTTTTTAGTTGAGATCATCAGTTGGTCTGGAATTTATCTGGGACACGGTGTGGGGGAGGGCGTGTTCCTGTGTCTTCTCCTGTGGCCAGCAGGGGGCACTGCAGGTTTGGGCAGCCCTGGTGTCCACCGGAGCGCTCCTGTTACTGGTGGCCACCCTGCCTGGCAGAAGGGCCCAGCTTCCCAGGTTGAGCAGGATTTGTATCAGGACCGCCGGCTCCTGGCTCCAAGCTGGGACTGGTCCTCTCCCATGTGCTTCACCCCCCAGTGGTTCCTCTTCTTCGCCCTCCACAGCATTCTCTGACAACCCCAGTGTCCTGAGTGAGCTCTGCAGCACCCTATCCCGCCTGGCTGTCCGCAACGAATTCTGCCAGGAGGTCGTCGACCTTGGGGGCCTCGGTGTCCTGGTGGCCCTCCTGGCCAACTGCAGCGACCACCAGGTGGGCCTCCAGAGCCGTCTTAGGGTGTGACGCCCCCTCATTTGGGTTTCGATTTGTCATTTCTCTTGATGCCAAGGGAGGGTTCCAGACTTCTCAGTGAACTCTGCCCCTCTGGGTCCCTGCCACCCAGACAAGCTTGAACCAGAACATGGTTGACCCCTGAAACAAAGTGCAGTTTTCACTTCTCATTGACCTGAGGGTAGGAAGTAAAGTTTTTGGGGAAAACAAATCCACCCACCCTCTCTTACTGTTCTCTAGCACCTTTGTATTTTCTGCCAGCAGGGGGAGGAATGCAAGTGGGTGTTGGCAGGGGCTGGCCCTTACCCTGGCTCAGGTGTGTGAAGCTTGAGTGAGGCAAATCCTTGGTGCCTCGGTTTCCCCATCTGTAAAATGGGGCAGGGACCCCTATTCATTATTCTTTCATTTAGCTGTCACATATCAACCCTCTGTGTACATGCCTGGCCTGTGGCAGCAACAGTCCTGTTGTCCCCAACCCCCGCTCATGATGTCACCCAGGCTCCTTCTGTGCAGGTGACAGAAAGCTGAATTTGACCCAGCTTAAGCAAATGAGGGGATGGATTTTGTTTGTACTTCTGCACTGCCGGGGGTGGGTGGAGGCTTGGTTTCCCTCCTACTGTTTTCTCTTTCTCTTTCATGGCTCTGCCCCTCACTGGGGAGGTCAGCAGTCCCAGCAGCATCTGGTCAGCTGTCCTCAGCTCAGGTTGGTTGGCACTCACCTGAGGACTCAGCTGTGGCCAGAGGACCCTGTGCTCTAATTCCTGGTCTGAGCCATATGTCCCCTCTGTGTGTGAGGGGTTTCAAAGTTGTCCAAATGCCTGGCCTGGACTTAAATGTAATTCACAGGGTCTACCCTGCTAAGCCTCCCCTGCCTTTTTTTTTTTTTAACCTTTTTTTTTTTTTTTAACATTTATTTACTTTTGAGAGATAGAACATGAGCAGGGGAAGGACAGAGAGAAAAGGAGACACAGAATCTGAAGCAGACTCCAGGCTCTGAGCTGTCAGCACAGAGCCGGACACGGGGCTTGAACCCATGAACATGAGATCATGACCTGAAGTCGACGCTTACCTGACTGAGCCACCCAGGTGCCCTGCTCCCTGCCTTTTTTATGCAGCAAGTAATAACCCTGCCATTACACGTTGCTTGCGTGCCCCAGGCTGGCCCCACCAATTGTTCAAATAGCAAAACAATCCTAGACCCTCCCTCAAGACCCCCTTCCCACCAACCAGCAACCAAGCCGTCAGCGTCTGGCATAGCACAGGAGGATGAGCTGGCCAGAGGTGACCCCCACATTGCCCTCCCTTTTAGGACCTTGTGAAGCAAGTGTTGAGTGCCCTGAGGGCCATCGCAGGCAATGATGATGTGAAGGATGCCATTGTTCGAGCTGGTGGGACAGAGTCCATCGTGGCTGTCATGACCCAGCACCTGGCCAGCCCCCAGGTACCTACCTCAGGCGGGACGCACACAAGGTGGGGCACAGTGGCTGTATCTGCATGGTGCTCCTTCCCATTTCCTCAAGCAGGGCTAGGGCTGGAGTGGGGCACACGAGAGGCCTGGGTTGAGACCTTCAGAGCGTGGTTGATGTTTTTATCCCTTGGTATCACTCTGGTTATTACTGATCTGGTATATACATGGGCTGGCAGCCATCTATCCAGGTGAAATTGCAGGGCACTCACCTGGGGGATTAACTATGGGGGCCCGCCAGGGCATCTGACTGTCTCAGCCATTCCCATGACGCCCACAGGTGTGCGAGCAGAGCTGTGCAGCCCTGTGCGTCCTGGCCCTGCGAAAGCCAGAGAACAGCCGGGTCATCATGGAGGGTGGCGGGGCCCTGGCTGCATTGCAGGCCATGAAGGCACACCCGCAAGAGGCCGGAGTGCAGGTGAGCCTGGGGATAGGAGGAGGGAGCAGGACTCAGGCCCTCCCTGTCCCTGTCCCTATCAAAGCCCAGTTCTCTCAAGGTCTCCACTTCTCAGCCCCCCGAGTCCTATATCTGTTTCCCAGTTCTGCCCACGGCTGTCTTCCTGTTCCTTTGCTGTTCCTGCAGTGATCTTTTCCTTTCCTAACAGTCCCTATAGAGGGATAGTTCGAGGAGCGGGAGATGGGAGGAGAGCAGGTGGGGATCTGCTGGAACTTTTGGAAAGCTCCTTGCTGACCATGGCCACTCCTTCATGTTCTGCATGCAGGACCCACTGTCCGTACCTTACTGGGAAGTCAGGGAAGCCGAGCAGTAGACAAGGCTGTGCGTGCCCCTGCCGGAGACCCACACACCTCCCTGTATCTGCCAGGACTGTCCCCACCTCCCCCACTCCCACCTCTTGCACCCTCCCAGCACAGGGGCCTCCTTGTTGGTCCTTAGACACACCAGGCTCTGTCCCACTCAGGGCCTTTCTGCCGATAGTGTCTCCTCTGGGACACTGTGCCCTTGGCTCGCTCATCACCTTGCCCACGCTTGATCACCCTGGCCAGACAGCCCCTCACACCTCCCTTCCTCATCTAGCCTCCCAATGGTGCGGTGCTTTGTGGCACCCACACATGGCAGAGGAGCAAGGCACAGATGTTGGCTGAATGGGTGATGATGTAATTGACAGGTGGACCCCGTGCACAACCCCCCTATTCCCACTGACTCTCTGCTGGCTCTTGCCAGCCTCAGGGGATCTTGCTCTGAGACAGAGGGTCCTACACCTGAGGGATCTGCCCCACCTGCCAAGTACTTGGCTGCCCCGAGCTTCAGTTTCCTCGCTTGGGAGATGGGGAAATCAGCCCTGCCTCCCGGGGCAGCTGAGAGGATGAAGTGGAGACATGAACCTAGCCTGATGAACCACAGCGTAGGTACCTGCTGTATGTTGGTTGTGGTCATCTTTGCCCCGTGTTATGGTGAGGGCCCCAAGGTCAGAGTAGACCCCATGCACCAGCTTACAGCCACTCACCTTCAGTTCTCCCTCCCAGAAACAGGCCTGCATGCTGATCCGTAACCTGGTGGCTCGAAGCCAGGCCTTTTCACAGCCCATCCTGGACCTGGGGGCTGAAGCACTCATCTTGCAGGCCCGTGCTGCCCACCGTGACTGTGAGGACGTGGCCAAAGCTGCCTTGCGGGACCTTGGCTGCCGCGTTGAGCTCCGGGAGCTGTGGACTGGCCAAAAGGGCAACCTGGCGCCATGACCCCAGGCTCAGTCTGGGCCGTGGCTCTGGATGAGTCATATGACTCAGGAATAGGGAGGAGGTCTGTGTCCTGCCACTCTACTCCCCGGATTCCTCCCCCACTCAGCAAGAGGTGTTTTCTGATGGGATCAGGTACCAGGCACCGGGCTAGGGTGTGAAGGGAGCATTGGTGAAGCATCTACACAGCAGAAAGCAGCTCCTGGGACCTGGTCTCTGTTCACCTCGTTCCCCTCACCAGCCAACAGCATTGGTGTTACTCATCCTGCCCTCTCACCCCCACCCCATGCCCCTTCCTACCAGAATGGCCTCCTTAGCATTGCCCAGGGGTGATGTGCTGATTGAAAGATTGAAATTTAGAAGCCTGCCGGCCAATCTCACAGCAGGGTGGGGCCCTGCTTCAGCTCCTACAAGTCTGTTTTCTCCCCTGCTGGTCTCTCACTTGTAATATGGGTTGCAGGTGCCTTGCTCTGCTGGACAGAGGGCGAGGACCAAGCTCTTCTGCCTCCAGGGGTCCCAGACCAGTCAGTACTGCCCAGTAATAAAAGATTGTTAGCTGAACAATGGAGGGATCTCTTCCATAGTGCCGTGGAGTATGGAGGCTGCATCCAGCTGCCTAAGAGAATGGGAGAGGAGCAGACATCTGGGGAGGCTGTGGGGTCACTAAGGAAAGCAAAGGAGTTTTTAGAACAGCCTGGGATATATGATCTGCTGTCACTCTCAGACAGTCTGCTGGGGCCATGGTTCACACTTAGGGTCTCTGGGCCCCAAGGCCACTATTTCTGAGTTTGTATCATTCAGTTCTGTGGCCTTGAGCTAGTGACGTAATCTCTCTCAGCCTTGAATGATCCTCTGTAAAATGGGGGGGCGAAAATAAAGGCTCCTCTCCGGGGGTTCGAGCAGTTAGGCACATGGGAGGTACCCAACTGTCTTAGCTTCACTACCTCAGTTACCCTAGAAGGACTGACCTGTATCCCCCTGCCTGGGGACTTGAGGTCATTGCTCTTTGGGTGGCTTCAGCAGCCTGCCTGCCTTTTTTGAGCCTCACATTCCCCATCTGTAGTATGGACATCACTGTAGCTGCCCCCAAATGCCCACCGCAACCCCCAGGTGTCCTGGGGGTCCCCAGGCAGCTGTGCCCAGCAAACCCCAGCTCTCCTCTGCCTTTCTACTTGGGGGTCATGTTGTGGTCATCTGGCAGCTTGTGCAGCCCAGGCAGGGTCAGGTAGCTTCAAGACCCCTGGTGGGCTCCGGGCGCTGTGCCTGACCTCTCTAGACCACACATTGGGAACCCCTCGCCTCTCTTGGAACGCTCAGCCTGTCGCTTGTCATTCGTCTCCCCTAGCTTGAGAAGGGCCTGAATTTGGTCCTTGATATTAACTCACACCCTTTCCTAGAAGCCTCCTGGTTTCCATGGCTGATGCAAATAGCTGGGGCAGGGGTGGCATCACCCTGGTCCTAACTCCCTATGTGGCCAGTTCTCCCCAACCATCGACTGGGAGGACCATGCCAGCTCAGGGAGGCTGACATGAACCTCAGACCCAATCACCTCATTCTGACTCCCCCACTGGGGACTCACCAAACACGTACAAGGATCTTGCATCCGCTCCAGGAACTGCTGTCCTGACTTGACTTCTGGGTGGGCCACCCATGTGACCTTGGGGCAGTCTTCAGGCCCTGTGAGCCTCATGCCTCATCTGTCTAATGGGAGGTGGGTGGTGCCAGCCTATTTCTGGGGAAGCCTGAGGCACCATTCCTATGGTTCCTGCCCCAGCTCTGCTCTCAATCTGCCCAAGGCTCCCCATTGCCATCCCCATAAAACCAACTGTTCTCCAGGCTCTGCCCACCTCCCAGCCTCATCTTCCCCATACTCCTTTTTAGTTGTCTTCCTAGCCACATCAGCCTCCCTACCTCTGGACCTTTGCACATGCTGTGCCTTGCATGGAGCACCTTTCCCCCAGCCCTCCTCATGGCCAGCTCCTTTCTGGCACTAGGTTCCAGCTCACATGTTGCCTCCATGGGGATACTGCTAGTTCCCCTTCACTGGCACACTCGTCCCGTCACCTTGTGTGCTCTGTCTCTGAGCTGTAAGCTTGTCTGAGGTCACCTTGCTTATGTGCTTTCCTGTTTGTCTGCTCCCTTCTGTCCGTGAGTTCCATGTGGGCAAGCTCCTATTTTCCTTCTTTTCTCCAACTTCCTGTGCATGTTTTTGAAAATACACCTAAGTAATAAGGGGGTGATTTGGAGGGAAGGCCTCTGCCCCCACAGCTCCAGTGTTCTCCCCTGGGCTCCTGGCCAGCCTTCCTCCAGCTGCAGGCTTCTTTGGGGAGGCATGGCTCTAGCTTATCAGCCCTTCACACCTTAGTCTGAGAAAATGGGCTTTGTCAGTGGGTGTGGCTCGGGGTCTGTTTGGACCCAGGGTGGGTAGGCATATCACTGAGGTTGGGTTCCAGGCTCTGCTCTGCCACCTGAGGTGAACCTCAACGTCCTCTCCTGAAAACGGGTTAAGTGTGTTGCTACACAGGGCCACGGCTCCCAGCAAGGCACACAGCCCCTCTCTAAGGAGTGCTTGCCATCCTTGTGGACTGACAGGGAAACCAGGGCTGAGGAGGAAACTACTGCAAAGGAGGAGCCGGTATACTCAGGCAATGACCCTACTGCTGTGTGCTCAGTATAGCTGAGCTGTGGCCCAGCCTCTCTGAGCCTCTGGAAGGCTGAGTGAAACTGCCTTGAAACCAGTTGGGTTTGGCTGTCAACGCTGCTACATTCAGCAGGTGTCCCTCCAGCCAGAGGAGGACCCAGGGTCCTGGGTTATAAACACATCTTTGAGAGGCAAGGCCTATGAACCCCATTTTCCAGATGAGAAATAGACTCCTTGGCATTTGAGGGGCCACAGTGGGATGAGAACCCAGCTTGGCCTGCCTCCACGCTCCTCCTCTTGCCCGCGTTGCTAACCTGACCTTGGGCAAATGGCTCTCTGGCCTCGGTTGATTAAGCCCTGTCACTATGCCCAGGCCTGGCTCACAGCCATCGTGTCAGATGATTCCTGGGATCCCCGCGAGGCAGAGGAGACTGGGGGGCAGAGAGACAGTGTCCTGCCCAGAGGCAGCCAGGCTGACACAGAAGAGTTAGGATCCCAGGCACCCTGGCCAGGCACAGCTGAAGTGCCCATAGTGGGGGTGTCAGTTGCTAATGCCAAGGGGCATTACTGGCCATTGTTGGAAGGCAGAAGGGAGGTTGACCGGCGCCAGCATGCTGACAAGCAGACAGAAGCCAGAACCCAGGCATTGCCTTTGGCACCCTCTGGAGAGGCAGCCTAGTGCTGGGCTGCTGCCTGACCCTTGTCTCAGTTGGCACTGTACCTAGGGGTACCGTGGGACCTTCCAGGAGCTCGCTGCCTTCCTCCCAGGGCCTGACAGGTAGGTGCTGTGAGCAGGGACTCTTGTAGCATAAATATCTCCCTCTTTGGGTGGTAAACCCCACCCATAGTTGGTCTATGTCCACATTCCATGAAGCGCTATTTACAGAAAGGGAACAGGCCCCGAGAACAGTTTATCCATCACCAACACTCAGCAAGTCCTGGCTGTGGACCAATAAAGTTGTCAGTGTTTCACTTCCATTCATTTTGTTAGTGCTGCCATTAACCCTGGGAGGTAGTTGGAGAAACTGAGGCAGAGAGTTTGAGTCACTTGCTGAAGGTCTGGTAGCCAGCAAGTAAAAAAGAGCAGGGACTCAAACCCAGCCTCAGGCCCTTCCAGCAAGGAATACCTGTAATGTGAGGATCAGTTTTCTCATCTGCAAAGTGGGTGCTGTCTCCCTCCTTGCCCCCCGCCCCCAATCATCTGGAAATCAGGTCACGAGATGGTGTTAGGGAAGCACCCAGCCCAGTAAGGACCTGATACCCATTAGGTGTTCAGCAGACCTCAGAGCCCTCCTCTTATCCAGAGAGCAGAATGGAGACCAGAGTCTGGAAGTTGCTGGAAAGCAAACCACAGCTGGGAGGTATGGAGAGAGGCCCAGGTGGGAATATCATGAATCAGATGGTGGCCTCAGGCTAGTGACATCCACAGTGTGAGCCTTGATGTTTTCCCCCTCCTCCATACTAGGAGGCCGTTGTGCTGTTGTGGATTAAGCACCTAGCAGGGGGCTTGCACAGCCCTGAAATGTGAACCCTTATTAAGGTCATCCTCAGGTTTGCTCCCTCCCAGGATTCTTTGGCTATGAACTTGATCTCCACCAACTATACCCTGCACCTCGAGGAAATAAGAGCCAGTATCTGGGAACATTTATAACCCTCTCCACCCTGGCCCTGGAGATTAAGGGAGTGCACTTAGTGAGTCAGGAAACTGGGTGGGCTTGGGCGAGGTGCCAGTGACACAATGGAGCGCTGGATGGCAGGTGTCTTCTCTAACTGCTGGCGTCTATCTGCAGAGAATCCCATGAACCGCACCTCACAGAGAAGCTGAGGCCCATAGGCCAGACAGACCTGCTGAGGGTCAAATGCTTTCACCAGAATAAGACAAAGGCTGGGATAGAAGTTCTCACAGGAAAGCCACCCAAAAAAGGAAAGATTAAGGTGTAGCAATCATTGTCCCCTGAGGAAACAGATCCACAAACACCTTGACCAAGGTTGTGTGGTGGGCGTGTAGCTGGACATGGATTCGACCCAGACCGCTCAGGCCTCTGGTGGTTCTTCTCTGATACTGCCTTACCCCACTTGCAAAGAGCAGGTTGCTCTAAATTCACCCCCAGATTTAGCCACTTGAAGCGCCGTGGGCATGGAGCTTGACCTCTCTGCCAATGGTGGCTTTGACCTCCTAGGATCAGGATTAGTTTTCAGTTAATTCACAAAAGGCTTATCCGGGAGAAGGCCTGATGGGGATATCATGAACTCAGAGAAGTCAAACATTTCCAGAAACCACAAAGCTCGTAGGTAGGATTCCACCTGTTTCCACATCTTCACAACAACCTGGAGCTGCAGAGGACAAGCCCGAGTGACCTCAGAGAGTCTGCCCTCTCCGTGTCTTTAGCAGAGAAATAATGGAGAGTGAAAGAATGGAGAATTATCCCAGGAATCTTTCAGCCGCGATGGCCCATGTTCACAGCCAGAGTTGGAGGTCTTGCTTCTGTGCTGTGTGGTCAGAAGGACAACCTCTTTGACATAGCCTCAGGGGACCCTGCATGGGGCGTCCGAGGCCATCTACGGCAGCCGCCCTCCGGGCCAAACTCTGCACCTTGCACACGCCCGCCGGCTCGGAGGTGCACCGCCCACTGCCCCTGCGACCGGCCTTTGGGCCTGCCTGTCTTCGACTTTGTAGCCAATCCTCATCGCCCTCCAGGCTACGCCCTCCGTTCTTCTCGAGCCAGCCGCGCCAGCCACTTCTCTTGCCCCCCAGGGATTGGTCGTCAGGGCTGCTCGTCTTCCGCCAAAGTTCCAATCTTCGCCTACCTCCAGGCCCTCACCTCCTGGCACCTCGCACCCTGAGGGACCACCTCTGGGACCAAAAACCTCACCCAATAGCCCGCCTTTGCCCCTCAGTGATTGGCTCTAGGGGCTGCCTGTCTATTTCATGCTAACCAATCCCAGTCTTTCCAAACGCTGATTGGCCAACGCGCAGCCAATCGGAGCGTGGCGTGGACCCCTCCCGCGGCGCGCGCTGAGGGTGCGCGAGGCGGGGCCGTGGTGGCCGGAGGCGGCGGCGGCTGCGGCGGTGGTGAAGGCGACGCGTCCCAGACGGTGAGGGGGAGCAGGGGGCGCGGGGTGGCGCAAGCGTCGGAGGGTCCGCTCCCCTTGGGCCGAGCGAGGGCGAGGCACGGTCCTGTCATGTGTCCTGGGGCGGGGGCGGACGAGGCAGGGCGTGACAGCAGCGTCAAAGGGGCGGGGAGAAGGTTAAACCCCCCCATCCCTGCACCCCGCATCCGGTGCTCCCTGGGGACCCTCCCAGCCGAATCTGAACCTTCACGGTCAGTCCGCGCACACCTGACACCACGTCCCTTCTTGTTGACCCCCATACACCTGATACTGCCCACTTCTCTGACATTCCCCACACCTCTAGAGCCATGCCCCCAGGAGCTCTGCACAGTTGAGGCTTCACACCCACAGGCATCTGAGTCTGTACCCCCACTGATATTCTCTCACACACCTGACATTGCACACCCCCACATCACCTAAGATCGTCCCTCTTGGTGACATCTCCACACCCAGATCCATGCACCCCCACCTCTGCAACAGGGCCTACATCCCCTACTATACCCATGCCTGAGCCTGTGATGCTAAACTCTGGCCCCGCACTCACACCTGGTCCGGGTCATATCCCCTCACTGACTTTGCTCACATCCAGGTCTGTGCCCTTCTCACTTGCCCCCTCCCTTCAGCAACTCGGGTCAGGGTCCTCAGGTACTCTCCCCCTACCCCTGCATCTGCCCTGTGCCTTTACAGTTCCTCTCTCCATCACACACCCTCAGTCTGTGTGCCCACCCGTACCTTCTTACAGGTGCACCCATGTTTGTGCCCCTCTCTGTAATCCTTGAACCCTTCCCCCACCCTAGGTCCTCTACCCTCCCCCACCCAAAAGAAAAGCCCACCCAGATGTTATATTTTCATTTATGAGAGTCTAAAAAGTAACTTCTAGGCTTAGAATAATCCCTTTGGCCGGACGAAATTACAATTATCTCCATTTTACCAGCAACAAACCTAAAGGGACTTCAGTTGGGGAGGCAGAGCCCATCCCTCCCTGAGCATTGCTGACTCTTCTCTGTAGACCTTCCCTGTTTTTGCCCATCTGTTGTGCTTATCTCTGAGGGATTGGCAGGGGGAGGGACCCCTACCTTCCCTGCAGCTGTTCCTCAGGAGTCATGACTTTGAGTCCAGAAAGACTGAGCTGGAAGGGGTGGCCCCTGATTGTTGCTGTAGCACGTGTCTCCGAGTCCTGGGGCTGGGTGGGGGTGGGGACCTTGCAGGAGTGGGACTTCAACACCTGGGGTGCCACCAGAGGCTAGGTCACCTGGGAGGGAGCCGCTGGCCTCCCGCCTCTGGCTCCAGCTCTTGCAGACTGAAGCCCCTCACTGACCCTCAAGACCTCCTTGGGCCCTTAAAGCTGATAAACCTGGAGAGTAAGGAAACACTCTTCAGAGTGAGGCGAGCTAATGTTACAGCCACTTAGAGCCAAACTGTAAAACTGGAGCCTGGTGTGGTGCTGGGACTAATGATTTTTCTGGAACTTTTCAAGTTCCCTGGAGTGTAATTTGCAAGTGTGCAGCGTAGAAGGAGCGGGTGGCTTTGTTGTTGAAAAGTAGTAGTGTGGTGTGGTTTCCTGTAAGGTTTGCATAGTGCCTCTTACGCCCCTTCGGTCTCTCCCTGCAAAGATGGTGCCAGAATATTCTGGAGGGTCACCTTCAGCTTCTCCTGGGGAAACTGAAGCCATTGGGGTTTTCTGTCCAAATTCAAAAGGAGTCATTTAAAACGTGTGTGTTTACGTATGTGTATGTATATGTCTATAAGTAGATATACACATGTATGTACATCACACTCATATATGCATAGACACACATTTTATAAATACAGATGTATACACATTTCTTATATATACATACACAAATCTATAAAATTTGACAAGGTAATTGATGTACGTGGTAAAAAAAAAAAAAAGTCCAAAAGGGCATCCAGTGAAAATTAAGCACGTCTCCCCTTATCTGCACTCTGCCCTTCTAGAGGCATCCATTGTTAATTGCCCTGTTTCCTTCCAGAGATAGTCTATGGCATGGGGGAAAGATGTATATCCCCCACCTCTTCTAAACCCCTGATACATTTGCATGAGCTTTTTATCAAATGGGTGTGCCAGTGTAATAGCCAGTCCCTCGCTGATGACTGTTCAGGTTGTCACTCGTAGCTTCTCTTGCAAACTGAGCTTCAATGAATAGATGGAACCATGCATGAGCAAATATGGAATGAATGTGCGTGGGGCTCCAGCACAGACCCTCCGAAACCTCCCTGTCTTCCTGGAACTCCCATGCCAAAGGGCATGTCCGTTTAAATGGTTAATGTTCCTCCAGAGAGGCTGTGCTGCCATCAGTTGTCTCTCGGCTATGAAGGTGGAATTCTTGTTTTCTCTCCCAGCATCCAGAATAGATATTATCAAGTGTTTTGGTCTCTCCAGTCTGATAGGTAAAGCACAGCCTACGAGATCCTTTTGAACACTTCTGTGCTTTCTATCCATCTCTTTGGCGTTCTAGCCCGGGTGGTGGTGATTAAACATTATACTTCTGTTTCTCTTCCACAGTTAGACTAACGTTCAGTCCAAGAACTATTTGAATCCCTTCTCTGTGGAGCTCTGGAGGAAACCTTGGGTGTGTGTGTGGGGGGGGGGGGGTCCCTGCAAGACAGAGACATGGGTATTGGCCACAGTCCTGGGAGGGGAGGTCTTAAGATGTCTAAAATTTTTTTTAAGAGGTGTAAAAGTTTTTTTCCCACTCGGATCCAGCAAGATCACTTGGGTGTCAGATGAAATTGAGATAAGTCAGATGTAAATCTTTTGGGGAAGCTGTCTTGAGATTCTCTCGAGTCGTCGGCTGTTGCCCACTCTTGGTGCCAGGTGGAGAGCACCTTTTGACTGAGGCCAGGCCTTTTCGCACCTGTCATCCTGTTTTTCTGTGCTTCTGTTTTGGCAATTAGACAATACAGGAATACTGAAATGGTCAGAACTTTCAGCTTGGTTAGGTTTTGCAAACCAGCTCTTTTTAAAAACACATATATTCTTTATTTTTATTGTGAAACACTTAATAAAAAGTATATGATGTGCACATGAAAAGAAAGTATAAAGGATAACGAAGCTGATACTTAGTTGAAGAAGTAGAACATTGCCTCCGGCGGCCCTTCCTTCATCACTGCACTATTTTTAAAATATGCTTGTCAACGTGTGTTTTCTTCGCTGAGTACCTTTTGCTGCAGCTGAATGCTTGGCTTCTAGGGTCTTAACAAAGATCAGCAGAAGCCAAGTTTTCTATCAAAGCTGTGTCAATAGGATGACCTGAGAGGTCCACGGAGGGAAGCAGTGACCTCAGGTTCATGGGCAGGTCACCAGCCAGTACCAGGAGCTTTGATCTTAGAAGACTCCTGTCTTGTTAGTGTCCTGGGCCTGCTGTGACAAATTACCACAAGCTGGGTGGCTTAAGACAAGAGAAAGTTATTCTGTCATAGTTGTGGAGAGCAGAAGGCCAAAATCAAGGTGTTGGCAGATGCTGTAGATGGAATGCATCTGTCTCCCTAAAACTCATATTTTGACTTTTTTTTAATGTTTATTTATTTTTGAGCGTGAGTTGGGGAACGGCAGAGAGAGAGGGAGACACAGAATCCAAGGCAGGCTCCAGGCTCTGAGCTGGCAGCACAGAACCTGATGCGGGGCTAGAATTCACGAGCTGCAGGATCATGACCTGAGCCGAAATCAGACGCTTAACCAACTTTGCCACCCAGGCACCCTAAAATTCATATTTTGAAACCTAATCCACAACGTGATGGCATTAGGAAGTGGGGCCTTAAGGAGGTGAGTAGGTCATGAGGGTGGAGGCCTCATGAATGGGATTAATGCCCTTATAAAAGAGGCCCTGCCCCTTCTGTTTTATGAGGCACAGCAATACATTAGCTGTCTGTGAACCCGGAAAAGTGCTGTCACCAGACACTCAGTCTGCTGGCACCTTGATTCTTGGACTTTCCAGCCTCCAGAACTGTGAGAAATACATTTCTGTTGTCCATAAGCCACCCAGTTTATGGTCTTCTGTTACCAGCCCAAACAGACTGAGACAGCAGGTCGGTTTCTACTGAGGGATCTAAGGGAGAATCTTACCAGGCCTCTCTCCTGGCTGTGGTAGTTGTTGACAATCTTTGGGGTTTTGGCTTGGAGCCACATCATCCCAATCTCTGCCTCCATCTCCACACAGCCTTCTTCCCTGCGTGTGTGTCTTCTTTTTTTTTTTAATGTTTATTTATTTTTAGAGGGGGGAGAGAGAGAGCAGGAGTGGAGGAGGGACAGAGAGAGAAGGAGACACAGAATCCGAAGCAGGCTCTAGGCTCTGAGCTGTCAGCACAGAGCCCGATGCGGGGCTCGAACTCACGGACCGCGAGATCATGACTTGAGCCAAAGTCAGATGCTCAACTGATTGAGCCATCCAGACACCCCCCTGTGTGTGTGTGTGTGTGTGTGTGTGTGTGTGTGTGTGTGTGTGTCTTCCTACAAGGACACCCATCATTGGATTTAGGACCCACCATAAATTCAGTATGAGCTCATCTCAGTGTCCTTAACTAATTTCACCTGCAGAGACCCTATTTCAAAATAGGGTCACCTTCTGAGGTTCTGGTGGGACATGAACTTTAGGGGACACCATTTAATCCCTGTAGCTGCAAAGCCAGAATTTCTGTCAGGATGTTATGCAAAGAAATGCTTGTCTAGTGGCGTCTACTGCTTCAGGAAGAAGGGGGCGGGTAGGGTTGGAGCACACGGCCGCTCACTCACCTGCCTCCCTACTGGAAGGTGGAGGCATCTGCCCAGAGCTAGCAAGGACCTGGGCACGTAAACATGTATTTGCTAGCCCTTGGCGCATGCTTACAGGACTGTGAGCTTGGTCCTAGATCATCTCAGTTTATAGAAGGGTCATCAAGACTTAGGGGCCTTTGCCCCACCTGCAGGGAGAACAGAAGGGGAGCCAAGATGAACCTAGGTCAGCCCAAATCCAGACCCCTGTCCT